TTCCAGGCTCGCGTGCGCCGCGAAGCCGACGCCGCCGCGGCCCGCCCCGAGGCCCGCGCCATGCTCGTGGAGGACGAGGACCTCATCTTGGCCCAGCTCGAGGCCTCCGACGACGTCGAGGACCACTTCGCGCGCGCCGAGAGCGCGGTGCTCGAGCTGCTCCGCTACGACCGCTCGTTTCGCGACGCGAGCCCCCCGGACCGCAACAGGGCCGAGCTCGTCGTGGGCCGCCTCTTCCAGTCGACGGCCTGGAGCGAGCACGACGAGCGCAGGCGCGTCGCCGACTTCGAGGCCCTCGACCACGACCTGCGCGCCGCCATCGGGATCGCCGTCCGGGACGCCTCCGCGCAGACGACCGCGGACGACGAGCGCGACGCCCTCGGGCTAGCCGCGGAGACGCTCGAGAGCCTGGCGGCCTTGGTCTAGGCGCGAGCGAGCCCGCGCCCGTGCCTGCGCCCGCGCCCGCGCCCGCCGGCGCGCCCGCGCCGGGGGCGCGGCCGAGGCGCGAACTAGAACTCGCGATGGGATAATTCCGCGGGGTTTAAAGACGGGCCGGCGGGACGAGTCCGCGCGTCGCTCCGCCTGGCTTCGGCGCCTCCGGCGCCTCCGTCGCCTCCGGCGCCTTCGGCGCCTTCGGCGCCTCTTTTTTTTTCTTTTTTTTTTTCTTTTTTTCTCCTCGCCACTGGCCCCACATGAAAAAAGTGCCGTTTTATGGTGCCCTGGATGTTGTCGCGTCGCGCGCGTTCGCATCCGGGCACAGGGCTTCGCGTCCGAGCGCATGGGGTCGCTCGGTAGCGCGTATGATCGCCCAAGGCCGCCCGCGCCGCCGCGTCGCGCTCCGCCTCGCGCTCCGCGCGCGTCGCCTCGCGCTGCGCCCGCGTCGCCTCGCGCCGCGCCAAGTCCGCCGCGTCCACGTAGCCGCTCCGCTCCTTCGCCGCGGCGTAGACGGCGGCGATCGAGGCGCCGCCCGCGGACATCGCCTCCGCGACGTCCTTGGCGCCGTAGATGGCCGCGAAGATCGTGACGACCTATGCGTCCCTCGAGGCGCGGCTCCTCGAGAACGGCGACAGCGTAATATGGATGAACTACTTCGGCCTCACGATGCGCGACATCCTCCTGTGCATCAGCGAGGAGAACGAGTCGACGGAGGTACGCTGACGGGCGCGGACGCCGTGGACATCGTCGTGGCCAGCGTGATGATCGCCATCGTCCGAGTCCTCGACCGCCGACTGCTACTGCCTGGCGCCGGCGTCGAGTCTCCGGCGCGGTCCGCGCACGCTCGACTCCGCACGCTAGAGAGCGATCCGCCACCCGTGTAGGCCTCCCGAAGCGTTCCCGAACGCGCGCCGCGCGTTGCAGCAACATCGCTGATTGTTGACGGCGCGAACGCATCGAGGCCTCGCAGCGACGGAGAGCCGAAGCTCTAAAGCGCAATCGAGAGCGGTCTGTTGCGTGCGCAGCCACCGATCCTACCCCCCAAGGACGCCCGCGACGCGCGCACGCTCGACGGAACCACCCCGCGACGCGCGCGACCGAAAACCGAAGCGAAAACCGCGCGCTCGCGCTTTTCCCGATTCGCTTTCGGCCGGCCATGGGCCTGGACCTGAAGGCCGACATGCACGTGCGCGAGCGGCGCACGGGCGGGCGCGGCATGGTGCTGAGGTTCTGGCGCCACCACAACGGCCACGTCTGGGCCGAGGTGCGCTTCATCAACGGCGACACGCTGACGGTGCGGTCGACGAACCTCGAGCGCGTGTCGCTCAGCGACGACGAGGTCGAGGCCCTGTCCAAGTTCGAGGCGCTGCCCGCGGACCCCCTGGAGCTCCTGCAGCGCACCATCGACCGGAGCGTGCGCGTCACGGCCGACGACGGCGTCGAGCTCACGAACGAGTTCGACGAGGTGCTCCAGGCCGACGGCACCGCGCTCACCGCCGACGACCTCTCCGTGAACCGCCGCGGCGACGGCCGCGTCGTGCCCGAGGGCGGAATCGACGAGGAGGCGGCCCTCGAGGCGTCGACGAGGGCGCGCGCGGGCCGCGCGACGACGCGGACGCGGCAGCTCGTCTGCCGCGCGTGCGACGACGACCCGGCGAGCGCGGTCGTGACGTGCGACATCTGCGTGCGCCGCGCGCGGGGGAGCCGCGCCGAGTGGCGCGTGTCCCTCAACTCCAACGGCGTCCTCGACAACGGCGTGCTCCACAAGATGCGGAGCCACTGCGGCCAGTTCGCGTCCGTCCGCCGCGGGGCGGGAAAAATTCCCAACTTCAAAGGCTCGTATCTCGGCCGGTTTTCACTCGCGATCATCTCTCGGAGCGCTCTCGACGCGTGGATGTTTTTCCCGGAACGCGCGCGCGCGGCACGCTCGCGTCGAAGCGATCACCCTGTTCCCGCCCAGGTCCGCCACGCGTCGACGCTGGAGCACTGCGTCGCGCTCGGCCGCCTCTCCGGCCGCGTCTTCTCGACGCGCGCGGCGACGACGGGCAAGGGCGCGGCCCGCGACGCGCGGGGCTCGGCGCTCGCCGCGCGGGGGCCCCGGGGCAAGCGGCCCGCGGCGCGCGCGGCCGGCGCGGCGCCGGAGAAGCGGCCCCGCGCGTCGCTCGCGAAAAAGGACGACGGGCCCCGGCTCCAGATCTTCGACGTCAACACGGGCCGCTACGTCGACGTGAAGAAGGACGCGGGCCGCGGCATCCGCTACCACCGGCTCCGCCACCGGCTCCGGGGCATCCTCGAGGCGCACGGCGCCGCCGCCGCGCCGGCCGCCGACGCGTCGGACCCCGAGCCCGCGCCCAAGTCGACGGCGGACAAGTGCTTCGAGCTCGCGGCGCTGCTCCTCGAGGGCGGCTTCGTCGGCAAGCTGCCCGTCGCGCGCGCGGCGGACGTGCGCGCGCTCAGCGACGCGCGGCGCGCGCTCGAGGCGCGGCCGGACCTCGAGGACGTCGTCCTCCGCGACGACGAGGCGGACCCGGAGGAGCCCGCGGCGGCCGCGGCGGCCGCGGCCGCGCGCGCGGCGGCCGCGGACGTCACGGCGTCGCGGCGCCGCGAGCGCATGGCGCTGCTGCTCGTCGCGCACCAGCTCTGGACGCCGTCGCGGACGCGGCGCTTCGTCGGCGGCGTCGCGCCGGACGCCGACGACGACGCGAGGCGCGACCGCGAGGGCGCCGAGGCCGCGAGCCGCGACGCCATGGACGTCGAGGCCTTTTGCGCCGCGGACGCGGCGGGCCGCGCGCTCGACGGCGCGAACGTCGGCGCGTGGCGGGCCGCGCTCGAGGCCGGCGGCTTCGAGCCGGGCCTGCGCGTCGAGGGCCCGGCGATCCGCGAGCCCGCGCCGCCGCCGCGGAAGCTCGGCGCCGAGGCGCCGTCGGCGTCGGCCGCGCGGTGCCGCCGCGCGGTCGCGTCCGCGCGGCTCTCGGGCGCGCTCGAGCCCCAGCGCGAGGCCGCCATGGAGAACGACGTCTTCACGGGCCGCCACCGCACGCGGACGACGCCCGACGCCGTCCTCGACGCGGGCTGGACGCGGCACTGGGACGTCGTCACGGACGTCGCCGGCGCGTTCGCCCGGGCCTTTGGCGCCGCGACGGACGGCTTCGTCGACGACGGCGTCTGCGAGGCGCTGCTCAAGGAGGCGCGGCGGCTGCCGGACGTGGGGGCCTACATCGGCGCGCACCTCGTGCGGAGCCTGCTCGCCGTCTTCGACCTGAAGATCCCGCTCGTCGAGTGGGGCGCGTTCACCATGTCCGACGACTCCGTGGGCCAGATGGTCAAGCTGCTCGGCGACGACGCGCGGACGCCCGTGGCGCTCCTCGCGGCGCTCCGCAAGCGCCTCGACCCGGCGCGCGCGCCCTTCTTCTTCGAGGGCGGCGGCGCCGGCGACGGCGGCGCCGCGGCGCCGGCGGCCGCGGGCCGCTGCGACGCGGGCGCGCTCGCGCTGCTCCTCTGCGAGGTCCACTCGTGCTGGGCGCTGATCACGCGCCACAGCGTCCACCACGCGCAGTGGGCCTTCGAGCGCGTCGTCGGGACGCTCCGCGACACGCCCGCGGGCTGGGCCGACGCAGTCCGCGAGGTGCTCCTCGACGAGTACCACCAGCCCTTCGACGACGCCGTCGTCTACCACCCGGCGCACAAGCTCGTGCTCATCTCCATGGTCGCCAAGGGCCTCCACGACGTCAACGTGCTCAAGCTCCCGCCGCCGGCGACGTACGCGGCGCGGCCCGACTTCCGCGTGCTCGCGCCGGGCGACGACGACGCGCCGGCGCGGTCCGACGCGTCCGAGTCGCCCCCGCCGCCGCGGCAGGTCGAGTACATGGCGCCCTACGGCCGCGGCGAGCTCGCCGTGCCCGTCGACCGCGGCGACTGCGCGCCGGACGGGCCGGACGTCGCCGAGGCCGCGTCCGCGCTCCTCGCGGCCGTCGACGTGCTCCCGCCCCTGCCGCCGATCCCGCGCGTCGAGCCCACGACCACCTACCAGCACTACGTCCGCGACCTCGACGTCGACGCGGAACTCGACGACGCGCCGCCGCTCGCCGCGGCGGGCTGACGCCACGGTCGCCCGTAAGCTGCCTTTCGTTCGCGTCGGGGGCGCGGCGCGCTCGGCGGGACGCGCTGGCCGCGTCCGCGTGGAACGCGGCGCGCGAGGTCGTCGAGGCGTCGTCGAGTTCAACTTGAATGCAACCAACGAGTGGCACCTCAAAGCTTGCATCGTCTGCGTCGACTGCGTTCGCGCGCTGCTGTGGGTCGCGCAACAGAAAGCAACGTCGACATGTTGATAAGTAGAAATAAATGTAAGGTAGTTTGCGCTCGTTCGGACGACAAGATATCAGATCGGACGGTGGATAAAAGGCGTCGAAGCTCGAAGAGCATGGACGAGTTTTCAGCGGAGATCGTGCCAGAGCGCAGCCCCATCCACAGTAGCAGCTACCATGCCATTGGCTTTATGCTCCGCATGCATCACGCGGACGCACCGGTGAAAACGCGACGTCCGGGCGATTGCGAGGCGACTCAAACGGGGGGGATCAATGGCTCGGAAGCGACGCGCAGCCCCCTCGCGACCCCATAAAGCTAGTTTCAGAGCCCTCGCAGCGTCGGGAATCGTTCATCAATAGCCCCGTTGCGTCCGATCGCAAGGGCTCGTTGCAGAGCTTCGACAACGTCGAACTCTCCTGGTCAGGCTCGGACGCCGCGGCGCATCCCGTCGACTGGCGTCACACATGCGCAGCGACAACACCCCGTGGGGAAGAACGCCGCCGCGGACCCATCCCTCGCCCGATGGAGAACGGTTCCGTGACGGTCCCACGAGGTGGGACCGACCTCGCGACCCACCGGCACCGGATCAGGTGGTCCGAGGGGCGAGGCTGCCCCCGCGCGACGTGACGATGTTGGTCCCACCTCGTGAGAGCGCAACACTCACACATTCGACATGTGTGCGCAGGCGACGGTCGTGGTCCCACGAGGTGGGACCGACCTCCAAACCCCGAACAGGGCTGCTTTAGACGCGCCCATCCCGCAAGACCTAATCGCGCTGCGACGGCAATAACGAAGGAAGCAAGATGTTGGACATTCAATATCTCTTCAGCGTTCATCATCGATTTTCTCGGACAAAGGGTTGCGCGACCCACAGCTGCCGAGCGAATCGCATCGAGTCGCAGCAGCGCAATGCTGCGCGCTTTGTCGTTGCTGATGCTGCGCGCTGTGTCGTTGCTGGGCGTCGCGCATGCGTTGGCGCCGGCGCCCTACGAGACGCTGCGGGCGGCGCGGGTCGTCGACCCGGTCAGCGGCGCGACGACGAGCGTGCTCGAGCCCGGCCACGGGCCGACGCTCGTCGCCGTCGTGCCGCAGCTCGGCGAGTTCGACTCCTGCGAGTTCTGCGAGTTCCTCGCGGCGGCGCACGGCGACCTCGCCGCCGCGGGCGTCGATCTCCGCGTCGTCGGCGTCGGCGACGCGGCCGCGGGCGCGCGCTTCGCGGCCTTCATGGGTCTGCCCGACGGCGTGCTCCGCTGCGACGCGACCGCGGCGCTCCACGCGGCGCTGGACACGCGCCGCGGGCCCGGCTGGTCCGTGCCGGACTGGGTCTCCGACGGCGCGCTGAGAGTCGCGCTGTCGACGCTGCCCGGCGGCCCGCCCGACGACGCGGCGCACCTGCGGGCCGCCGGCGACGCCTGGCTCAACTACCTGCTCATGTGCGCGGGCGTCGGCGCGCCGGGCACGCTGCCGGAGATCCTCCGGGGCTACTTCGGCGACGCGTCGGCGCCCGAGCGCCTCGCGCCGGACGCCGTCGTGGAGGCCGCGGGCTTCATCACGATCGGGCCCGGCGTGGGACCCGTCAAGCTCGGGCCCTTCGCCTACGAGAACAGCTGGAAGGACGAGGCGGGCTACCAGCGGCCCGTCGAGCTGGCGACCGTCCGGCTCCGCCACATGGTCGAGGTCCTCGGCAACTGGGACGCGTACGTGAGCGACAGCCGCTTCGTTGACCGGCGCGGCGCGACGTTCCTCTTCGACACCGATGGCGCGACGCTCTACGAGTACGAGCACCGGGGCGTGCTCACCTACTCCGCGACGATGGCGCGGCCGCTGTCGTTCCTCGCGCCCTACATCGGCGCGAAGGCGCTCAACCCGCTCGGTCTGGGCGACAACGGGCTGGCCAAGGCGCCGCACTAAGGAGGTGTCTTTGGCGGAATGGCGGCGCAGGGGGTGGCGCGACGACGTCGACGCCGCCGCCGCAGGCGCGAGGCGAGGTTCACAGGCCTAATCTAGAGCGCATTAGAAGCAGCCCAAGAGCCAGCCCGTGCCGCAGCTCGCGCCGTCGTCGCTGCCCCCCGGGCGGCCCGACCATGGCGGGCCCGCTGCTCGTCTGGGAGTCCGGCGCGACGTTGTCCGTGCACGGCTTGACGGTGGCGCATTCCGGCTCCCGTCCCATCCAGTGTCGGTTGGCGGCGGCGACTTCAGGTCGTGCGCGAGCACGCTGGTTCGGCGCCCCCGGGCATCTCTGGGTTCGGACCCTCGAGGCCGCCGACTTCCGCGTTCGAGGGGGGCGCACGACCGTGCCGCGCTCCATGGAGGCGCGCTGGCTCGAGACTCTCCGCGGCGCCCGAATTGCTCGCCGCCGCGCGGCGGGCTTTCAGGGCAACCGCGTGCACGTCCGAGACCCACGGCGCCAGCCTCTGCGGCGTGGGCTACGCCGAGCCCAAGCAGACCTTCCCCGGCGACATCATCTGCCGTACCTACGCCTTCGCCGAAGAGCTGGCGCG